TGGATCCCCTGGAAATGCGAAACATAAATTATTTTTAGTAGTTACTTTGATAATACAAAACAAACTGTGAGGACGACACGCTCGATGAACATAAAGAATATGGAAATTCAAAAAAAAGAGTACGTACGTACCTCGTACTTCTAATTGCGTTTTTTCCATCGACCTTCACATTTTAACAGAATAAGAATGATTCTCTACCAGATGTCAAATGAGAGTAACCCATCTTCTTCGCACACATAGATAATATCGCACAMAAAGAACTAGAAGACGGAAGCGTTAGAYCTCGCCAGTACCACAAAAGAACTTCTTCTTCAATCATTCTTTCTTGTTTCTAGTCCAACAACCTCGTCGGTGTATTCTCTCTCGACCCCGTCATTGCTCCTCTATGAAGCGCTTCGTCATAAATTATCGAGCACGGAGGAACAAACAACTGCCGTCGTCTTGCGAGGTAGGCATTCCTTCTATCAAATCGATAAAACAACGGAATATTACTAATGGCACCGTGGATGAAATCGTAGTGTTTACTGAAAATAACAAAGASAACATCGAAGACCGACAAACAGCACCGGTTTCTACGGGTCGCTACCGCAGTGAGAGCGTACGCGAAAATAATGCGAACACCAACGATGGAARRTGCGGTGCMACCAGTGAGGGCTCTAGGGTATTCGTACCTACCAATACAAAGTTTGAACACGAAACCCAATTAGAGTCACCGCCCAAGTTACAAGAAATACTGCGACGCAAACGACCAAAAATGCACCAAACGAGAAGAACGATGGTTCCGTCCGAAATAAGCTGCCATGCATCGTTGGCATCGACTGYCGATTCCGAGTTGGAAACAGGGTCGCAAGCACAAACACCAATCGCACCAGCCACGGCAGCACCTCATRAAGAAACCCGCGACTCCCACAACAAGKGCATTTGTTTGGCATTGCTAGAAAGCGACTGGTTTGACGATAATTTCGTGGGAATGGAACAACTGGTGGCAATGGCCAACCACGAACTAGTCAATAGTTCAAAGTTTTTGGTACCTGGCAGCGACACAAATCATGGCGAATCAATACCGCCCTTGTTGTCATCGACCCTTGCGTATTCGTTGGTATGCAACTGCAAGAGCAAYAGCKTACTCGGAGAGACGTTTTCTGCGCGCCTCCGGGCCATCTTTCCTACTTTTCTGTGCGACGGRATAGCAGGAAGAAACGACGAGGATCGCGACCAAAACRACTATTCCAGTGAATCGTCGACATCGTCCTTTAGCTGTAGCTGCCAAGAAAACGAGAACGAGGATTGYAACCGCCAGAACCACGTTTCACTGAAACTTCCCGCACTTCGAATCATTGTATCCTCTCTGGAACTTGTTTTGAGAAYGASACCAACRCCTCGATTGGATCACTCGTATTCGAATGGCCGTTTCCCTTCCATAGATCTCCTGGACGAGTTTTGGAGATTYACGCTTGCCTACATGACGGACTGTTTGCAAGCATTTTCATTGAACGTTGGCAACRGSACAGACACCCCCAGCAGGTGCAACAAGGTCGAAGCTGCCCTCGTGGTCAAAGGATTTCGACTYTTGTACAAGCTACAACCCCAAAAGATGGGTCCCTATGTCCGGTTTTCCCTCCTTCCCTTTGTTTCCAACGCCTGCGAACTGAGCAAGCAGCGACAAGGGACGAAGCACTCRGCGGGGGACGTAATGGTGGTCCGAGAATGCGAACGACTCCTAAAGATTCTGTAACAGATGCGAATCTAGCGATTGAGTCCGACGAAACAACGCGATTGCTCTCTCTACCCTAGATAGCTACGAAGSTCCTAGGGCTATTRTCCACTAAGCGCATAGCTCCACTACTTGKTGTTCTATGCATGTATGTAAATACGTTAATTATGGAAAAATTTTGACCCGTGATTCGAAACCAAAAATGTGGTACAAAAATTCTTGACGTCTCGCACTGCTTCGGATTGAAAATTGTTATGACTCACTGGCATGCTTTGGTATATGAAATCATCTTTCCGTGCGACATGATGCATTGATCATGCAACGCCAGAACTCATTCTATTGTATTTCAGTATTTTGAGGGACGTCATCTATRTCTTGCTTTGCTTTGGGCGTGCCTTTGATGTGTGTCTATGATGCGCACACCCKCGTGTGTGTTTCCTTGGGAGGACTCTATTCTGGTGCGTGGGGGTTTCGGRTCMTCGTGCCTCCGCTTCATTCCACCATKGCCGGAACGCAACTYTCTGTGGCCTCGTCGTTGTCTAGGACGGAAGGATCGCTCGTCGCTGCCGCTACAAWGATGCTCCCATCGATCAGCGAGYCGATGCTGCTGTTGCTCTTCCGTTGCGGAGGSATGCGGGGGGCGTGGTTTGGGGCTGGGGTGGCGGTGCTGCCGATGCTGGCTCGCCGAAGGGCCGTGGCCGYRTGGTTCCCGTGGAGGAACTCCGACCATCGGGTCGCTCGCTTCCGCGCCGCGATCGACTCCATCTCCTCGACGTTGGGGCGCTTGAAGGGTCGGTTCTGGTGCTTCAAAAGGAGTCGCTCGTAGCAAATCATCGAGGGGCTTCGGTTGCTGGAACAGCTGCTGCTGCTACCGACGCTACACCGAGGCGTGCCGAAAGAAACGGAGGGTCGAGGAGCAATGGACTTTTTCAGCGCCGTTCGAATYTTGTGCATGGCGTAGCTGCATCCCTGCCGCCGCTGGATCTCGAGAACGATCTCTTCCCTGGTGGAGGGCGGGCATTGYGCTTCGGCGCCGGCCTCGKTGCTCGTGCTGTTCGCAGCGYCGACGGGGACGCTTCGCCTCCAGAACTGGACCACAAAAGAGRCACGGTTGGTGTAGCAAAAGATTCGCGCCCGYTGGCTGTCGTAAACGGAACGCACGGAGTTGAACCTCAAAAARTCAAACAGGCTGTCCCCAATCTTGGAAACCTCGGAGTCCCTGATAATCAGGGGAGAGGAGAGCCGCGGGTAGATTTCCGGGAGCTCCGTGACGTCTTCGTCCTTGATTCTCCATTGGCGAGGGAGGAAGGGCTCGGAAGCAACATCTAAAAGRATGCCCTTGCGGAGGAGATAATCGCCGCTGGCATTGCTCGCATTGCTACTGTTGCTGATACTGCTGGTGTTGCTCGTAATGCTGTTAGTGACGTTGATACTGTGTATGAGGTTCTCGTTGGTGAGAATGCTGTCCATCGGGTTCTCAACATCAAAGGAAATATCATCGTTGGCAATGGTATACCTCCGCTGGAACTTTTTGTGGACGTTCATTGCTTGCTGGGCGAAGGGAATACGTTTGCTTAGAGTGTGTTGAAAACGATGAATCCCTGATRCAACTGTGAGTGGGACGAACTTCTGCTTTGATGAACTTGTATTGTTTTGGTCCACGCAGGTCTAAATGCAGCTGTGTTTGTAAACCACAATACGCGTACCAACAATGCTTTTCCGCACAGTTTAATGTTCAACAGAAATGCGATTGAAAGAAACCCACAAAAAAAGTCAAAGCAACAGGGACTCCGGTTCGTGGCGTGTTCCAAGTGTCGTTGAATCTATTCTTTTTGATTTCCAGGAACAACGAACAACGATCCAAAAATTTGTTTTTTGTTCTGATGGAGGCAGGGATGGCATCCGATAGTTCCTTATTGGTTGGTAGTCCCAGAAAAGTATTTCATACACACACCAAGAATTCGTTGGAACATCAATCATTCGTGTTCGACTTGAATGAGCACGATTGGGTTTAAACGGTGTGTAGAAGCTATTTTCGTCATGGCGCTAACTGGTACTTTCAAATTTTGTGGCGATAATTAAAAATTGCTCACTGACATGTTCGCTCCGATTATCCACAGAACTACCGTACGATCATACGGTACTGTGCCACGAGCCATCCTATCCCACTGCAACAGAAATTTCCACTGCCACGTTTTAATCGTAAGAATATTAGAATGTCGCACCGTACTTCTCGCATTAATTCACTTATGCCTCCCACATTCATTCGTGCTTCTTTGCTGATCTTGAGGTATGGTGCTTCACGCAGTAGCAGTATGTTTCAGTCCTTTGAGACTTCCAATACTTATTGCTAACACATGACATCACAAAAGAAGAACCAATGCGCGTCCCGTCGCGCCAGAGTTCAACCCCGAAAGCGACTGACACAAATGGTGAGCTACCATACTGAAACACTTTGTTTGGAGGGGTGAAATCCGTTCTCTGTCCTTGCTCGTGTTGTTCGGTTGTCTCACTGCCGATTGGGGATTATCATTAACAGCATGTCCGTCCCAGTGGATCAATTTCAATCGGGAACTCTCCAACGATGCCCGGTTTTGTTGATTGCCAGCAACGGTACGCGCGCGTACGGTACTTCGTACTAGCAGTTCGTTCCGCTTCAAGAAAATAGACCAGCAAAAACKAGAAACGAACCCATATCGAAAATTCCCTCTACGTCCGCCTGTTCACCACCATCGGAGAGAGTTACTGGTAGGGAAGGCTGAATCTTGGGACGCTGGGCCCTGCCTCTCTAATTCTGACACCACCAAGAATTTGAATAACAGAGACTTGCATCGAATCGGCTATCACCGATGGTCCGGTTGCAATTGTCCGAATCGATTTCCAAAAACAATGTGCGGAGAAAGTCGAACTGTCTGCTTGTTGCATTTGGCACGAGCGAGAGTAAGAGCGATGTGTTGCGTCCACAGTGTGTGCCAGATCGGAAGGAAACAAGAGGGAGAGATTAAAATTTCCAACTTGCAGCCTAGTCATAACAATTTTTCGGTTCCGAGACGCTGGCTCCGTAGTTCAAAAATATTCCTGTACTAGATCAAAAGTAGCAAATGAATAACCTGACTCTTAGTCCTAAAACACCTAATTTTACTCTGCTATAGACCACTAGAAAGCCCAAGTAAGTTCCATTATATTATGATGCTCTGAAKTCTATTATAAAACTATCACATGAGGAAGAAGATGACGTTTTGGAGTAATGCATTCTATCTTTTCGTCCGCTCACAGGAGGAGGACTCGTAATGATTCCGTCTCAAATGCAAAGGATTATTGAGCAGACTTCTTGTGTTGGCCATTCTATCTTCCTTTTTTGCTAACTCTTTGATGCTGGAGGGAACAGAAAGTGTYCTTTCTAATGATTTTTTGGAGAAGAAACAGACGTCGCTATTACTTGTGAGGTCCGGAGAGGAATTGCTACCCCATTGCGTGTTATTGTCATCGGCACATGATACAAACGAGTAATGGCACCCGTTTCTTGCCAGAAATCTGTAGAGATGGTGTCGAATTCGACGCATCACGATGCAACATCCTCGGCGGCGCTGTACTTCCATAATGACACAACAATCGTCACCACCATCGCCATTGCTTTGCCATAGTTGGACAACAAACTTCAGTATTTCGCAGCTGTTCTCGGTGTTGATCCTTGCGTTGTGTATACTGGCTCCGACATGACTGGTACCAAAACCAGTGTTGTTGCCGCTGTTCACGGGATCGCGAATTGCGTCAATAGCAGCTGCAATGGAAGCTGCCGTTGCTTCTCCGTAGTAACAATGAATTTTTCCTGCTGGAGTCGTAGAGTGGATGCACAAAATGGTGTTGAAAGCCATGTAGTCTGATATTTGGTTCGTGAGAGTTCTCAAGGAATTCTCCTTGAATTTCAGAGACGTTCGTTCGAGGGAACCATCCGACGGYACAGGCGGCAAATCGTTGTATTGAACACGCCAAGAAATAAACGGTTTTATTTTCATAGTCCCCTTGCTACCATTATTCGTTTGATTCGCTGRTGTGTCAGTTGCTTCGTCGTTTTCGTCATCATAGTAGTTATCACTGCTGCCGTTTGCCATCGATCTAGTTGGTCCAAGTTCTCTGTTTCTTTGTCTCGGGATGGTCTTTCCAGTGATAAATAAAGCATCACTTGAACCGTTTGCGGCCGTTGCACCGMCAACCTTCAACTTGCAAGATCTGAGGACGGAGCATGTGTCGACCTGTTTATCCGATCGAATGTGTTGATTCATTCTGTATTGGTTGCTGAAGTATGTTGTTCGTTTAGTTTTCTCCATGTAGATGGACTCGATACCAATCTCGTTGGTGTATTACTGTGCCTCTTGAATAGTTCATGGCATTGTGAACATGTGATGTTCCGCGTCAACGTACGGTATATGGTAGAAGTATGATAAAGAACAAATTCTGTTGTTATGAAGCCCTGGTACATGAAATTTCATTTCGCTATGGAATGTTGTGGATCATCAAAAAATTGAAATTTKACAACATTATATTTGAGATGGAATGTACGGAATGTTGTGGAAGATCTTACGCGATCTTTTTCATMACGTTTATTGAGCCGTTSAACAAATTCTTCAACGTAAAAACAATAATCTATTTATTGTTTGCAATACTGGATTGTCAAAGAACCTTCCAAAAAGAAACAAGAACCCTAAATGTTTTTTTGGTTGCTTAAATGCGATTGTCAGATGTAGAAAGTTGCCTTCGCAGTCGCAGAACTTGAGACTTCAAACGTTAGATAAAAAGCTGGGAACAAAGCTTGAAAAGTCCTGAAGAATGTAAGTCAATATTGATGAATGCTTCGGTAATAGCAAACGTACGGTATGGTAGAGGACTCCTAATGTCAAGCGCACTAAAGTCAAGTACTTGGCAATCCCCGTACAAATACTAATAGAAATTTTTAGCTCATTTTTACAGTTAAAAAAAGGCATCCAATGGACGAAAATAAAAATATTTCCATTGTTTAATTTCTTACTAGTCCCAAAATATTTCTATTAGTGGTCCTTAATACTTGAGATAAGCACTGATTTGATATTCTCAGTAGTAAGTACCTGGTTTAGAAATATTTTAGGACACTTTTTTCTTGGACGAGGGGGAGAGGAGAAATAAAAACGGGAAAATAAAAAAAATGACACCAGGGGAATTGCCAAGTACTTGACTTTATTGGGCTTGACATTAGGAGTCCTCGTACGGTACGTACCATACTAGAAACCAGTTCGTATGGATGAGAACATTAAAAATGAGCGCTAACGAAAATTCAATGGCCCAGATTTTGGGTGAAAATCTGCGATTCTCGGAAAAAATACTTTAGTGGAAGTCGTCCCCCTCTTGAATTCCTCTCTCTGTTTTACCCAGTGCCGTATGCACTTGGCACATGGACTACTTTGTACCACAAACCCACAAACCCACAAGCCTAAATCTGGGTCACAGGCTTCCTATTTGTGGGAATACATTCGGAATAGCAGTTTTTAGTTCTATTACTAGTAGTAGTACTAGTAGTGCGAGTAGCTAGTACTGTCAGTTCCACTAATACTATTTTTTGGTGACGGAGGAAGTCCATTTCTACACACTGCCACCACTTGCTTGTGAAGTCTTCTTGTGGGCTGAAAGCCAATCGTGGCAACAGTTGGTTCTACAATACCAATAGTTGCTCATCCTGCTGGTGCTGGTGCTGGTGCTGTTGAACCTGTCTCGAATTTGGGTGCTGCTGGTGCTGCTGCTGGTGCTGCTGTGGACGAGGATAGACCTGTTGCTGTTGCTGTGGCAGTGGCGGCCGAGATCCAGAATCAATGCTGCTGGGAAGCAGTGTCGCCTGCGCAATGTGATGAAAGTCATTTCCGCGGGGCGGCTCGCTGGCAACAACCATTTCACCGTCGAAATTACCACCGATGCTCCCGTCGGCTACGACCACACAGCCCTGGTGTTGCCTGCGCTCGATCAGCAGCACGGACTGCGCCGGCCGACGGTTCCACCTCATGCACAAACCTAGGTCTTGGTATTGTCGGCACGTRTTGAACTCGTGGATTCCCTCCTTCAGGAGCCGTTTCCGCTTTTTCGTCTGCAGGCGGTGCCGGACCCCCCACACCGCGAGGGGCACCAAGAGMGGMCCCGTGGCGAGAAGTGTGGCGTCGATCGCCCCMGGCCGGCTCGGGCGCAGCTTCGTGTTTAGGTTCTCGATCGCCTCGGTGAATTGCTCGGGTGTGAGCAATCCGTGCAGATCGATCCCATAGGGATCCGTATCGAATTTGAAGGCTGATCGTGCAATGTGTATGTGTATGTGTATGTGTATGTGTATGAGTGCGTGTGCACAGAACGAGTGAGTGTCTACGAATCGAATCAAGCTTCGATGGGAAACGTTGCGGCACACACGGGAGATGGCGGAAACGCTTCACCAAGATTTCTCCTATCGTCTCATGTCGTCTCGTCGGTCATCCATTCGATTCGATTCGATTCGATTCGATTCAAATACAGTAGAACGGAGACCTTGTACGTCGATCCAGAAGAAACCCGTCAATGTACTTACCTAGACCGCCATTGACACTTCTCTGAGGGACAATGATGCGTTTCCCGTTTTGAATGGAACCCATGATTTGATGGCTGTTTCGATTTTGACAGAGAAAATCAACGTTTTACATCGCGAAATTGCCGTCGAAAGATCTCCAACCCAAAAAAATGTGTTTTGTAGACGTCCGGTGCGGTCGTACAGGGTACCGTGTATTACCGTACCATTCTCAGTTTTACTACGGCCTTGCAATTTCCGCTCCGCCGCGGGAATGAAAATTCAAAATTCTGTACAGAAGGGTTTTTTAGGGGTGGGTGTTCAAAAAAGGGGGGGCTTCCAAAATCTGCGCGCGAAGGTATYGTCGGGACGGTTCTTGGTTGACAATACAAGGCGTTGCAACCTACGGTACTAGGTACTGTRCCGTACCGTAACCGCTCGAATTCACGGATTCTCGTTGCGATTGTCGATCGCCCTCGACGGATTCGTTGCTGATGCTGTTGCAGTTGCCACCAATACGCACCGGTACCTACCTTTCGGACGGCAGGTGCTTTCCGACMAGCGGGTCCACAAACCAMAATGAAGAAKCAACAACAACAGCAACATCGACGSCCGGAGACCGGCATTCTGCTGGTCCTCCACGGGAACAAGCAAACGGGCGAGTTGCTGCTGGGGCGGATCGGCCGGCTGGCCAAGAAACTGGAAAAGGAATTCGGCCTCAYCGCCGTGGCACCGGACGGTCCCTTTCCCGCCGACCTGTCGGAAGACKTCGGCGGCGATMRGAACCACCTGCGGACGTGGTGGAAGCGAGACGGCGACCACTACGCGGGACTCGACGACAGCCTGGAATCCCTCCGGGCCTTCCAGCAGGGAAAGAAGGTGGAAGGGATCCTGGGCTTCTCGCAGGGGGCCCGRCTGGCCCACCTGCTGGCCACCCTGCACCGGCGGCTCCCGGGGGAATGGTTCCCGCACCTGAGGTTCGTCGTCTTTGCCTCGGGGTACGCCGCGCCGACCCCGCCGGAGCTGCTTCCCTACCTGCCGGGGGGCAACGCCGGAGGCACCGAGCCGCCGCTGCTGCCTTCCCTGCACACCTGGGGGTCGGGGGACGAGCTGGTCACCCCGGACGAATCCGAGGCCCTGGCAGCCCTCTATCCCGAGAGCAGGGTGTACGTCCACCCARGGAGGCACCACGTCCCCACCAAGGGATCGGAACTCCCGGTGTACGTCGATTTCATACGGGAGGCCCTGTTGCCGCCGCCGCCGTCGTCGTCGTCGTCACCGCAACCGGGAGCCGGAGGATCCGGGGAAACCGAACCCCCGGCGTCGCGATCATCGCCAGCGCAAGAAATCGACGAGAACGCCATCCCCGACGAGGAAACAGCGGCGATGCAGCGCGACGAGATCCAGGCCCTGGAAGCCATATATCCGGGAGCCATCGATCTCCGGTCGGGACGACGAACCTCGGACGACGACGACGACGACGACGACGACGACGAAGAGGTGTTTGACTTTCCCATTTCGTATCGCATCACGCTGAACCACATGGAAATGGACCACGACGGTGAAGCTCCCGCGAGCGACACCACGAACTGGCCGAAACATCCGCTGACGGTCGAAATCACGTATCCGGTGAACTATCCGTCCGACGACCTCGAGGCCCACGCGGAACACACCACGGTTCCYGCCTTTCGGCTGCTGCACCAGAACACCGTCTTTGAATTCCCGTCCTCCGTCTCGGCGCAGCTGGTCTCCGTCCTGCAGACCACGTCTCGCAACGAACGGGGGATGCCCTGTGTCTTGTCGTGCCTGTACGCCGGAAGGGACTTTCTGGACCAGGACCGCGACTGGAAGGAATCCGCTCTGCCGGCTTGTGCTCCGGAGAGCGGGGCCGGCAGCGAACMCACGGACGGMTCCGGGGAGGGCTCCGYGGCCGTCGGCGAGGAAGGCYCCGCCCATCGGGAACACCACCCGCTCATCCGGGCCTCGTCGRYCGCGGAGATCCGGAAAGGAACCCTGGAGGGACTGGAAATCGCCGAGGGCCTCTTGCGAGAGTCCACGAGGGCCRCGAARGAAGGTGCCTCCGGAAGCAACGGCAACGAYGCCGGCGGGAGCCGCGGGGGCGGCTATTTTGGAGCCTACACGATCGGCCTCGTCGGAAAACCCAGCGCGGGAAAGTCGACCTTTTTCAACGCCGCCACCGCCTTTAGCCGGCAGAGGGGCCAGCACGGGGAGGCCGCCTCCGGAGGCAAACCCGGCGAGAACCAGAACGCCGCGCCCGGGTCCTCCCGGGGAAGCGGGTCCGACCTCGGCGGGGCGAGCATGGCGGCGCACCCCTTTACCACGATCGACCCRAACGTCGGGTACTGCCTGGTCCCGGCACCACCCGGTTCCTGCCCGGAGGACGACCACGGAGGCGGGGAGCTCTCGGAGGGGTGCGGATCGACGCACGGCCGGGATCCCCACGGCCGGCGGTTCCTGCCGGTCCTGCTGAAGGACGTCGCGGGCCTGGTTCCCGGTGCCTACGAGGGCCGGGGCCGGGGCAACCAGTTCCTGAACGACCTGACCGATGCCAACGTGCTGATCCACGTCGTGGACTCGTCGGGGAGCGCCGATGCCTCCGGAAACAAGATCGTCGTCGAGGGCGGCGACGAGACGGGGGGCAGCGGCGATCCGCAGCAGCATCAGCAGCGCACGGATCCCCTGGACGACCTGGCCTGGATCCGGGCGGAACTCGTGGAATGGGTRTATTCCAACCTCGTTGCCAAGTGGGCGGTCATCTCCCGGAAGGGGCGGTCGAAGCTRGCGGGCATGTTTAGTGGGTACGGACAGAAACCGGAAATGGTGGAGGCGGCCTTTTCGGCGCTGGAGGGCTTTCTGGCGGAACGCTACCAGCGCGACCGCGCCCTCGACAAGATACACGAGTGGGACGAGTGCGAYGTCCACAGGCTGGTCAGCCTCTTCCTCGGCGTGCGCTTTCCGATGGCCCTGTGCCTCAACAAGTACGACCTCTCGTCCGCCAGGGGCTTTGTCGATAAGATCCAGGAGTCGCTTCCGGTGCACGGTGCACACGCCGGCGTGCCCTTGTCCGCGCGAAAGGAAATGGAGTTCGTGAGGGAGCAAATGGCCGYGGAAAAGCTGTCGGGGGGRGCACCSCCTCCGGGCGCCGCTTCCGGCACACCGCCCCTGGGGGTGTGGGAGTGCCTGGCCTCGGCCGTTGAATTGAGRGAACCAATACTGGTGTTCCCCGTCAGCGACRTGGYGACCATGGCTCCTATGAMMGSCCTGARCAAGGTAGCGACCGGCGATCCSTCTCTTCCCACCAGCGGCATGATTCGGTGCATCGAGGCCTCCGGCGGATCCGCTCCCAGCTGCTGGAATTCCCGAGACGGACAATACGCAGCRCCCGGTYCCGGGGAGGGCAAGCGCGGGGACGCGGTGCAAAGGCTCCGGGACGCCGTCCCGATGAAGCCCGGGTCTACCGTGGAAGACGTGTTCCTGGCGCTCAAGCGGCTGGGAGCGCTGAGCGGGGAGTTYGTCCGGGCGGAGGCCTCMTCGGGTGCCCCCGGCGAGCGGCCCAAGCCGGTGCCCAAGCACGAACCCATGGGCCGGAACAACCGGGTGATCAAGATCATGACCAACAAGCGCACGCAGTGGCAGTCCTCGGCTCCCGCGACAAAGGAACGCAGCCGGTACCAGGGCAAGAAATAATAGCAGCACCCGCACGAATAGAATAGAGGATAACGATAATAATAGTACAACAGCAAGTACAACAGCAAACCGAAGCACCTTCTCGGTGCGATCCACCCCATAAGGTACATCCCGGCCAACAGACTTAAAAAAAAAAAAAAAACTACAGAAGAAAGGGGAACAGGTCACGAATTTAGGTTTCGTTCCCGCCGTGTGTATCCAGCGATAACGGAATAAGGACAGATTGGGTTTCCCTTTCTCGCACGATTACATGATTGAATCGTGGCATCCGTCTAAGTAATGTTTTATCATTCCCGGATAAGTATTTTAGTCTTAGTCTTGCTTTCCTGAAACTGCAGATGCGCATGGGGGGAGTGCGGTAAGTGCGAAGTGCTTCGAAGATTCCCACGTTGCACGGAACTCGCAACTGGTTGGAGTACTATGTACCAGAAACACGTATTACGTTCACTGTACAGCACAGAGCAGCGGTTGCAACGGTCAAGAGTTAGGCGAAGAAGATAGTCGGAGAAATAGTAGGGCAATGTACCGTACCTTACGAGGCAGTACTAATAGAGGCAACTAACCGCAGCGTCGTGAACTGTAAATAGACTACGTACAGTAGTACGTATGCTATGGTAATGTGCGTACGTACCGTTACGATCACTGATACTTCGTAGAATTTATTCCTGTGAAGTCTTTCTTGAGAAAGCTTCTTCTCGAAAAAAGATATCGTTGTCTCTTTCGGCACAGTGTTTCGAGCCTTTCCTCATCCCGAAAGAGTCACAAATTTAATTTAAAAAACAACACAAACACAAACGCAAACAAACGAATACTAATAACAAYAGWACAACACATCAAGATGGGTTTTATGAAGAACATGTTCGCAACGCTGGAGAGCGAGATCAACAGTGCCTTGTCCGAATCTCAAMAGAGCTCGACAACGTCAACGAAAGCAAAGAAACGTATCTCCGGTACTCCTCCGACTCGTTACGAGAGAGCCGTAGTGGGTCTCGACAAGATCCTCGCCCAGGTTACCAAGGTTGATCCCGATGGTGTTGACATCGTCTGCTTTGGAGGTGACGAGAGCCCCGACTGGTATCGCAATGTCAAGAATACGAAGGGACTCGAATCTATCGTCAACGAAAAGCCACCACGAGGTGTAAGTGATTTAAAWTTGTTGTGTTCTCCCAAAAGATTTTCGTATTGCGCAGCATTCTCTGCCGTACGACTCCACCTCGCTYGCCRACAACTCATTGAAATYCTTTGCCGTTCAATTTTGTATCACACAGGCGTGCAATATGGGAGCGGCCATGGACGAATGCATGCAAGAGGCCTTTCAAAACAAGGATATCACCACGAGACCCGTTGCCGTTCTGGTACTGACTGCAGGCAAACCAGATGATGCAGAGGAACTCAACGAAGCTCTAACGAGGGCCGTCGGTACGTGCGCCGAAAACTTCGAAACGTGTCCTCTGTCTGTCACCTTTGTACAGATTGGAGATGATTCGGACGCGGAGGCGTACATGAAGTACCTCGACCATAACATCCAAGCCGAGTGTGCGGCTAACGGAGAAATGTTTGATCTCGTTGATACCATCAAGGACGAAGACATCAAAGCAGCAATGKCCGAAATCAAGGGAACCGAGGAAAGCGGAAAGAACGGTGCCCTTATCGGTGCGATTGCTGGAGCAGCCCTTGGAGTTGGTGGCATGTACCTTGTCAACAAACAGCAAGCGAAGAAGCGCACCGCTGGATGGGGTGGAAAGTGGAAGGTCAGTTACGACGGAGAAGAGATCACCACATTGGAAGTCAAAGACGATCAAGCAGGTAATCTCGTCATTGAGGGTTTCCCATCTGGAGAACCTACAACAGGAAAGTACACCACAGAGGAAGAACACGACGAAGAATTTGCCATCAGTTTCATCGATCCTTCCGGAGATTGGGAAATCGAGGGAACGGTCGAAGACGAGCACGCCATCGTCTGGAGTGACGGAACCCGATGGGACGAAATTCCTCCCGACAATGGGCACTGGGCCACCTACGCCGCCGCTGGTATCGGTGGAGCCGCGGCCGCCGGTGCCACTGGATACCTTTTGGACAAGAAATTTTTCAACAAGGCCTCCAAGGAAGACCAATGTGATTACATCATCCTCTTGGATCGCTCCGCCAAGATGGCGGTTGTCGATACCGGTGTCGGTAACTAAACAGACGAAACGGGTTCYTTTTGTTATCCGTYTTTAAAAAGTAGTTTTGTACGTAATAAAATATGATCGTARACGATAACTCAAAATATTCTGTCAAACAAATTAAATAATACTGCTCAACGAATTACTTCGCATTATGTGTAGCGAGCAATATCGAAGCATTTGTATGGATGTRTGATCCATTATTACACAGCATCTGACCAAAATRTTGAACGACATATATAWAACATGACAAGGAGGGGTACCAACCCRCACGGCTTGCGGAATTCTTTGTCGAGAAAAGAGCAGCGCGTGATATTTGTRCTTCTCCCTCTTGTGTGCTTTSAATCACATGCTACAATACTGAATACGAATATGCAATTGATTTCAATACAGTAATATTATAATTACATGACCGAACTTGTCTAACCAGTATTTCCCATTCCATTTGCAACTCCAGTAATGGTAGTTAGCAGACAATCCTTCAGTACCTTATCTTCCTCCCCATCCTCAAACTTTCTGATTCTTTGAAGAGTTTCAGTTTGCAAGACATTCAATACATCAACATACGGGTTTCGAACTTCCAACAATTGCATCAGAACTTTGTTYTCTTCGCTCAAAATCTCATGACCGGTCAGGTCGAGAACAGCATCCTCGGTTTGCACATGCAGGGCACGAATCTCTGCACCAAGTTCTTTGGCTTTTTCATCTGAGACTAGCACGGTCTCGTAGTGTTGAGCAATCTTGGGTTCGCTCTTTGCCAAGACCATTTCTACCATATCAACGGTAGTTCGGAAGGAAGGCCATTCTCGGTACATTTCGCGGAGTTTATCGCCATCGTCACTGGCTAAAATCTTCTCGAAGGCCTCTCCCACTCCCAACCAGGTGGGAAGATTCAACCGCGTCTGTGTCCATGAAAAGTTCCAAGGAATAGCACGGAGACTCTCAACACCGCCGGTAGGTTTTCTTTTGGCTGGACGTGATCCAATGTTCAGGTTCGATAATTCCAGCTCGGGTGTAGCTGATCGGAAGTAGGGCACGAATCGTGGATCTTCGCTCACGATACTGCGGTAAGCATCGCAGCTTACATCTGAAATAGTTTTCATGAGACCTCTCCATTCATCTGTGGGGCGGACGTGCGTTGTTAATTTCTCTGCTAATACAGCAGCGGTGTAAATGTCCATGGTTCGCTCGGCTCTATCTTGGTACCCAAAATTCTGGTTGATCATTTCGCCCTGCTCTGTCACACGGAACCTTCCGTTGATAGTATCCGGAGCATGAGCTAGGATGGCCTGGAAAGTCTGTGGATTACCACCTCTTCCGACAGTTCCACCCTTTCCATGGAAGAAGGTCATTTCTACGTTGGCATCCCTTGCAACTTTGGCCTGTCATCGAATTTGAAAAATTGCGCACAATGCAGTCGAACATAGAAGAGCACAAAATTGATAAGAACGAAAAACATTACAGAATTCAATAACGCATCCGAAAATTTTCATTTTGTTGACAAACAGCGTATTTGCAACGTACCAATGCCTCTTGAGTCTCGTATTGTGCCCAGCTTGCTGCCAGACGACCGGCATCCTTGGCACTATCGCTGTACCCAATCATCACCTCGTGCTTTCCATCGATTGCACCCATGTATGCCGGAAGACTAAAGAGCTTCTTCATGGTATCCGCTGCCCCATTCAAGTCATCCAACGTTTCAAAAAGTGGAGCGACACGCAGAGCCTTTTTCACACCAGCATCCTTCTGTAAGACCAAGACAGCGAGAACATCACTAGCACTTGTTGCTTGACTGATTACATAGGCCCCGAGAGATCCCTCGTGTTGATCGGCAATCATGGAAAATGTTTCAAGAGTATCAACTGCAGTAGGAGAGAAGAACTTTGGATGATCATTCCATTCACCAGCTCGGATCAGAGGTCTTGGTGATGCTAGTTGCTGTTGCAACCACGTAAGCTTCGTATCTTCGTCCCAATCGGAATAGGAACCAAGTCCTAAATAGCGCGTGATCGAGTCRATGGCCTCTTCGTGGCGGTCACTTTCTTGACGGATGTCCAAGGTGACCATAGTCAGCCCAAACGCGTGCACGTTGCGAATGATATCGGTCAAGAATCCATCTGCTTCGATCTCGTTATCAGTTTCCAAGAGCGAACGGTGGATCATCATCAATTCGTCCACAACTTCCTGTTTGGTAGTGTAGACATCGTCCACACCGTACTGTGATTGATTGTTTGCTGATTCGAGTTGTTCCTCTGCCCAAGTTTTGGTGCGACTCATTTTCTCAATCATTTTCGCCAGGATAACTCGGTAGGGTTCTTTAGTTTCGCMGGCAACTGCACGGAGTTCCTCATTGCATTCCATGATTGACAGTTCGCTCTTCAATCGCTCAAAATCACGTTTCAGCAAACTAGCCGCCTGGGCCCGATTCTTAAGGTTTACTTCTCTCGTAACATCCGGTGTTACGTTAGGATTTCCATCACGATCACCTCCCATCCACGATGAAAAAATTACGGGGCAGGCATCCAGCGGTAGCGACTTTCCAAGACTTTTTTCCATAACAGAGTTCAGACGCTTCAAAAATCCAGGTAAGGCTTCCCACAAAACAGTTTCGACAACGAGGGTACCACGCTCAGCCTCGTTAACGGGGGTTGGCTTTTCTCGAGCCACTTCATCAGACTGCCAAGTAGAAGCGATTTCACGTTTCAAGGAACGATCCAGTTCTGTTTGGTCATAGCCAGTGGACGGAATGTTTCGTTCTCGTAGATAATCGGCCTTAGTTAGGAGCTGAACGTCAATTTTTCCGAGACCGTAAAATTGAAAAGTGAGGTTACAATATTATTWCAAGTCTCTTCTACACACTCATTCTACTGAACTTACCCTTTGAACGCGTCTTTGCTTCTCCAAAATAGTACGGCGATTGACCTCGGTAGGATGTGCTGTCAAAACCAACTCRACTTGCTGTGACGTGAGGGCGTCATAAATTGCTTCGGGACTGTGCCCATCTTGCAAAAGCGCTTTCAATGCTCCCCCACTACATTTGTSAARGAAAATGCGAACAGSATTTTTTTKGGAAAAAGAAATCAAAGTAATACTTCTAGTGAGAACGACATTTAGGCAATGCCCGAAAATAGGAATCCAAACTGGGTAAAAAACAATCCGAGCTCCTTCTTTAACCTCTATTTTCCTGGGGCAGAACATTGTATTCACTATTCCATCCGTTTCTGCTGGCGGAGCYTGTCGATTGATCAATTAGTTATTACTCACCAGGAATCAAATCGATCAGGCAGGGCTTCTTCCCGTGTGGCCATATTTAGTCGTCGGATCCGATGGTGAGATTCCCCTGCATTTGCAATCGAAAGAAATCCATTGAAGGCACGGACAATGGTCAAAATTTCTTCGTTGCTAAGCTTGGCGCAGGCCTTGGTCAGCTCGGCAAAAATTTTGTCGGCGTCTTGAGCACTTTCAGGATTACGACCGGCCCCTGCGGCTCGCCACTCCTTTGAAAGCCCTCGCAGTTCTTCGATTTTTTGAAAAATATCTTCCCCGTGGTGATCCTTGACGATCTGTCCTAGGATGGATCCCATTGCACGAATGTCGGCTCGCAGGGGTGAGTCTTTGTCAGCGTCTTTCGTTCTCATTTTTTCCATCACATCGCTGTTGAAAAGAGTYCCTGGTTCGGCAAAGCTCGAGAGAGATCGGGTGGCCGTCTTGAAGGTCGGAGTACGACCGCTCATAACTCTTCTTCCCGCATAGGATGAGAGACCACGGCTCGCTATTGGCGTCGTCATCGCGGGGGTTGRGGACTTCAGCGTCGACGACAAGAGTCGACGACACGGGGATGACCGTAGCATGGTGATTCTAGAATAGGTTTCTTCAATGAACTGTTTCGGAACGGGTTAGAGTCCCTTAATTTTTTTGTGTCTTCTAAACGTTTGAACCAGAAAGATCTGATATCTMATTGTGAAAGTAATTGCACGATTTAGAACGTGACCGCTGTAACTTCGAGTACAGGATAAAACGACAAAAATCTAGAATATTGTTTTTGTCGAACTTTTGGGAAGTAACCAAGTGAATTTTCATGTTGCTACCACGACTTTCGAGGGAAGATGACGATGCAGTCCATCTGCCAGAAGAAATGAGGGAAARAAATCTACATTTTCATTCGCGCGTGCATTTTCGATCCTGAGAGAAAAATGCGCGCGTAAAATGTTGCGAAGTTCGATAAACGAATCTAATACAGTACCTCCGTTTCCACTCCTACAACTACTTGAGTACTAGTACAATTATTACTACTACTAGTACTAGTAGCTACTATCTTGTAGAGAGTGATATCATACTACTAGTACGTAGTACTAAAATAATACTCCTCCTACTACCACTGCTAGTAAGTACTACTATCAGAACACACCACTCTATTACTACTAGTACTAGTAGTACTATCATTAAGAATATTACTACTAATACTACTAGCTAGTAGTTGCTGTACTACTACAAGAACAACAATTTAGGATCATTGTTAGTAGTATCAGCACTTTTGTGGTGAACTGGTGCTGCTGGTGCTGGTGCTGCATGCTGGTGCTGGGCAACGACAACAAGAAAAAACAATTTGCTATGGCGTAGTTGTAGTAGTAGTAGTAGTAGTAGTAGTAGTAGTAGTA